ACTCTGGCTTTTACAGAGCCTGTCTTACTTGCCTGTTGTCTTCTAGTTTTGTGCCTAGTAGGAGACTGAATTGCATTCAGATTTTATTTGGCTTGCTGTATCTGCTTTGAATAAACCTTCTCTCTTCTACCCCACTCCCTTTACATATGCTGCAAAGCATAGCATAAAAAGTATTAGCCAAGTAGTAGAAAAAGCTTAGTAGTAGAAACAAACAAGTGTGCTCCTTTGTACAGACTGATTTTGCTTCCTGTTCACATGGTGATGTGAACTCTGGTGTTCAGTTCATGCAGCAGGATGAATTCAGTATTTCTAAACCTTTTAAAATAGTCAGAGGATGTGGAGTTGTCTGTGGCATGTTAATAGTCCTTACTTTTAATCACAAATGCGGTTAAAAAAAAATCCATACACAAAGAATTCTGGTTTGAGGAGTTTCATTATTATTCATCATGCAACTCTTTCACTTCATCCACTGAAGTACTGGTGCCAACACAAAAACAAAACTGCTTTAGCGAATCCTAAGTATTGAGAAACAAGCATGAGGTTTTGTAACATAGCCTGAAACGAAATAAATGTTTTACGCTAACATTTGTTTTATGAAATCTCTTCCTCTCTGTTAATATTGTTTATGATATAGTAGATATATGAAGCTATGAAATAAAGTTGCATGTATGCCTCTGGGATTTAGTAAAATATGTAAATGAACAATTTTTGAACGCTTTTAGAGGGTTTATTGTGTTTGAAGTAAGGATTCTCTTCCTTATTTGCTTTCATTCCACTTGACCTGCACAATAGTTTTTGTTTCTCTTCTCCTTCCCTGTCTCCCTCTGAAAATATCCACTGCCAAAACATGCATTAGAAGACATTCAAAAATAGATATCTTGAAATGGGGAGGGCTGGACAGCTGTAAGTAAGTGAAACAATACCTAGATGGATCTTTTTAAATTTTGTTTTCTTGGTATTCCTGCTCTTGTGCCATGAGTGTTCAGACCAAGCAAGTTTTTGGTGCGGGGAGAGTGAGTATGCCTGAAGATTCAAATCCGTGGCACTGTTTATGCATCTATCTGACTTTATTTTTTGTGTATGTCTCTCCTGTGATGAGAGCTGTGGAAGCATACTAGGGAAAGTGTCCTGAGGAGATACTGATCAGTGTATGTGTAGGTGGTAGAGGCTATAGAAAAGCTGTGCAGTAAGAGAGCCCTGTGCTTCCTGAGGAAAAAAGGACTGCTGAGGTCGGGCTTCCCTCTTTCAGGACATATTAAGGTGATGCGCATGTACTGAAAAAGAAATGAGAAAGGAGTGTGAAGTGAGAGTATGTGGAATAGAGGACTAATCAGACCCTTGTGTGCCTGAAAAGTTTGGAGCAAGAATTTAAAAATTGGTACAGATCTTTCTCCATTTCTAACCCCATCAGGAAAACAAGAGACAGCAACTTAAGAACAAGCCCTGTTTCATAACTAAAGACTAGCTGATACCTGCACTGACACTCCTCTTGTTACTGTGATGGCAAAACTAAAACGAAATTAGCAGAGCTGTTCTAAGCTTAGTAGTCCTTACTGAAGAAGCTGGGTTGAAAATTACTTATGTTCAGCTTGGAAGGAGATGAATTGCATTTTCAGGGGAGATCCACTGTTTCTGACCTTGCAAGTTCCTGCTCTCAGCAGTTGTGTCCCATCACTTGTTTGAAGTCCAGAAGAAACTGAAATAATGACAGCACTGTTCTTGGTCATGCCCTTTCCTTGTAATCATATTCATGTGCAGTCTATGCTGCCAGGGTTGGGGAGGAGGCCCTCACTGTTATTCCTCCACCTTGAATGAATAAAATTTTTCCTGAGTGTAGGGCTGATTCATCTACAAGGAAAGTTCAACAATCTATAAGTTGAATCTGAACTCACTTGGTTCTTGAAAGATTTCTGAGTTTTCAGCCGGGCTAGTTCAAGTATTTGTTTTGGAGGATGTTGTCAGACTCCTGGGGGCTGAGTAGGCAGATGTTGCTGCTTTTTATTAATTGCTCTGTCAAAATAAAAGTACTCACTGAATCCCCATCAGATGAATTCTGGCTTTTCAGAGAGGAGATGCTGCGGGAGGGATTTAGCTGTTCTTTTGGAAAAACCATTCTGGAGCCCTGGGGTTCTCGCTCAAGATAAGTTAGCTTGGGAAGTAAATCATGGGATTTGACTGCTGTGACCTCTTGCTCTTCAGGTCTTGGTGGGAGACAGAGTACTGTTCTGAAGAGATACATGGAGAAAAAGCACACATTTAAGTGGAAGCTGGACGTATTTGTGTGGTTGCATTTGATTTCTTCAGAAAGAAGTTACTGTTTCTGCAGAGCTACACAAGATTGGGTTGGGAACATATCGGATTTATCTTGATGTGTATTCTTATAGTTACAACTTTACTGGCTAATTACCAAGTGCAGAGTGAGTATGCTTGCGTTGGAAATCTGCTTGCTTTAGTTAAGAGCCAGTGCACCTCAAGGGTGTTACCTGAGTGTTGAGAGGTTATGAATCTACAAGGGGCTAAAGATCTCAGAGTGGGGAAGCCAAGAGCAGAACAAAGCTTCCCTTCTGTTGGTGGTGGCTCAGAGTGATAAACCTTGTGCCAGTAGTAATGACTCGATATGGTCCCTGCATGGCTAAGCCAGCCTTCACAGCATTTCTTCTGTTCATTAGTCTCTTTCTGATTCTGTGCATTGGGCTAGGTATCTCCAGTGCTGCTTTTCTGACTTGGGTTTGTTTTGCTGTGGGACTTGCCAAAGGTTCCAGTTGATGTCTCCTCAACGCTCTTCCCCCCAGAATCATTAAAGTATTCTCAGTATAAGTCACTTGTATTTATATTGCATTTAGACTTGCAGTACACTGAAGCTTCCCTGATTTTTGATGGAGGATCGGATATATAATCCACAGTTCATTAAGTATCGTTTCATTCTAAGGTCATTAGTGAGTAAATTCATCTGTCATGTTCTTCCAGCAGAAAGGACAATTTTATGGCTGAATAGAGTATTAAAGCTCAGAATGATGAAAGTGTTTTGCATGTATAATGCACTAGATATTTGGGCAATATTAATGCATTTGTTTGGCCCCCTAGGGTTAAGCCTGCGTGTGAAAGCTTGCACCAAGTGATGTGCACAGAATGAGGCCCTAGGGGCTGCTAGCAATAGCATGGCTGCTGGGACAATCATGTAGCTCCCCGTTTGGTAGAAGCTGCTTGTAACAAAGAATTAAGGTATTTTGTACCTGAAGTGGTGGCTGTGATATTCTTGCTTCCAAATAAAGCCTCTCAGAGCAGAGTGGGTAAAGAGGATGTAACAGAGAGTGCTGGATCGGATGGGGCAGTTGGGACAAGAGTCAAACCAGCTGCCATTTCCACCTGTCAGGTTTTCCTCCCCTGCCTTCACTGCAGGGATGACTGGATGGGCCTCACATTGGTTTTTGTAACACACACATGGATGCATTTAGTTCAAGGAATGGGAAACCATTTCAGTGGTGGAAGTTTAACCTGTGGGTATGCCTTGGACTTTGTTGTTCATCCAACATGTGTTCTTCCACGTGGCTAGAGGAGTAGTGACTTAAATAATGTTCTTGGTGAATACTGAGTGATGTCTCTGGATTTCATGGAATTAATGTGACATTTTCCCTTCAAACACTGCTAATTTGCAGTGCCTTTGTGTTTTAGGGGAGACTTGTCAGCTAGCTTTTGAGGGAATGTGGTAATTCTGAGGGAGCATATTTTTACTATAGGCAGAAATACAAGCAAAAATGTATGGTGGTGTAAAACATCCTTGAAAGAAGCCAGGGGAATGACCTTTCCTGACAAAATTATGAAAAATTTAAAAGTCCAATGAATTGTTAATAACTTTTGCATATCTACTTTTCTAACATAAAGAATTTTAATATTGATTTAAACTACAGCACTATTCTGTCTCATTTTTGAGCTCAACCAAGGCAATAAGGAGGTCTGTGTTTAAGAGAGGAAGAAAAAACTTTCTGGATTTTGGCCTGTTGGAATTAGATTTATTTTTTAAGTCTACATCTGCAGTGCTTGCTGCATTTGTCCATGTGACTTGAATTGCATCCACTTATTTAGATCTACTGAAGCATGAGACTTGGAATGAAAGGTCTGTGTAAAATGGTAGACCTGTCAGTGAATAAATAAAGTTGATATATGCTTATACTTCCTAGGAGTAAATCCTTAACCATGTAATTTGATAGAGAGAACCTGAAAGGGTTGATGTCAGATGTCTGAGATTTTTTTTTTCCCATTTGAATTAGTAGGATCCAAAGAAAGCCCCTTAGGTCCCTAAAGAGCTTTCCATGCTGAGATAGTACTGTCATGGGGTTTTTTTAATGTGGTCTTACTATTAAAAAAAAATAATTATTCTATACAATTCCACTATGCAAAAATAGGTATTGAGTGCTCTGAGGTAACAAGCATGGTGCCAGCTCCAAGGCTTAGTTAATGTCAGTTGACTGAATCTGACTTTAAATAAGAAACTTCACAGGAGATGAGAAAAGATGCAATGGCTGTAGGCATTTTATTTTAAGTATACTAAATGCTTAAAAAAAAAAAGCCATGAACCATACTGTGTTTTTCTGATCCTGTTCATGTATGCTTTTGTGATCTCTATCTTAATGTTCTACTGTAAGCATTCTGTGGCAGCAGGAGCCTTCCTCTACCTTTTAAGGCACTGTATGTTAACAAACAATATGGTCTCTGCCCTCTTTGCAAAGAGATATTTATTTTCCAGCTAGAAAGAAGTATCTATTATTTTTTGATTATTAAAAAATCTTGTTTTGTGGGCATTTAAGATATTTAGGAGGAGTCAAAATGGAATAGTGCTTGAAAGTGCACATTAACTGGTAGGAAAGACCATCACAGTCCAGAGTGATGTTCTGGGTGTGAAATATAAACACGCTGGCTTGTTCAGGATACCAACACTAATCTATTTTCCTTTTTTTTGTGTGTGTCTATGTGTTTGTGTATGTTTTTTTTTGTTCACTCAGCCCCTTCTATGGAGAAGACTTTTACTGTGAAATTCCTCGGACCTTTCGCCATCTGTCATTTTATATTTTTGACAGAGATGTTTTTCGAAGGGATTCCATCATAGGTATGTGTTCATAAATTACTACATTCCTTACAACTTATTTTTCTTGGATTTTAACTTTTACACCATATGTGGTCTTATGAGCTGGGGGTCTTGGTAGGACTGATGATGATAGTGGTAAGTGCTGCTCAGTATTGTCCTTCTGTCAGTTGTTAAAAATGCCTTCAATATTGCATATTATGAATAAAAAAGTTGGGGAGATAAGCACTATCTGTTGTGATAGTGAATGCAGATTGCAGTTTAACTAAAACAGGCTATAAAACCTTGTTTAAATGTTGACGACCTCATTTGTTATTGCAAATGTTACGTTTATTTTTTTTCCTAAGTGCAAGGCCATTAGTCTTGCAGTTTTCCAGGGCCCTCACACTTGCCTGCATGCAGCATTGTTAAGCTATGGCTACCTTAACAACAGGCAGAGGAATAGTTCCTGGCCATAGATCCCCCAAGTACAATGATGACAGAATTTTGTGGAGTGTATCAGAGCAAACAGTCACCTACAGGATAGCTCTGAAAGATTACCAGTGCCTGTTTGAGATTGACAAGATTCCTGCTTTTCCAGATGTTACTTGCTGTGCATTTCATCTGCAGCAAATTGTATGACACTCAATGTATCTCTTCAGATAAAAGCTTAGCTGTTATTGAGGGGAACAGTTTCTATTTTAAGTCACCTGAACACTTAGGATTCTTTTTTTTTCTTTTCAGTTCTTCATCTCTTTTGAAATAAGTTGTGTGTAACTACCATGGCTATAGCTATCTTGACAGAAGTCGTAGAGAGGAAGTTATCAGATGTTGAGCAACAGTTTTAATGGCATAAAATTTATTATCTTAAACCATGGGGTGGTGGTGCAGTTATTTTACATGTATCTTTACATTACAGTAATTTTTCATGCAGTCACAGGCTTTTTCTTTAATCATTGTTTTACATATGAGCTGGGAAAGCAGGTCATTATTCTCTTTGTCCATAAGTGAGCTCATGTGTATATAGCATCCTGAGCAGGAGGGAGTCAATTTCTAATTGTCCAGTGAGCTTTTGGAAAGCTTTTTGTTCTCCCTAATGTCTAGTTTTCCTTGTACTTTGTACTTCTTTCAACTGATGAGCATTTCATTGTTGAAATTATCTGATCTCGTGTGTGTCACCAGTTTTCAGCAGCTTGCAGTGACTCATCAACAGGCCAGGGACTTTTCTTGCTCAGGGCTTTACTTCTTCTCTTGGAAAAACAGTCTCCTGAACCACTTAATACATGTCAGACACGTGAAATTGCAGATAGAGAAGTGAAAATATTTTTGTTTTCTCCATGTTTTCTAAGTTCATGTTTTAATAATCAAGCTCTGATGTTTGAGGGGAATTATTCAGGAGCTGCAGGAGTAATCTTGAAGGTACTGGGAGCAGTTTGTGAAGAGGACATGCAGAAAATATAAAGACTTTTGCTTGCATGCTTGAATGATTGATCAAGTTTTCATTTTTCACTTTCTTCAGAAAATGGCAATGTTAACTTCTGCATGTGTTGCAGAATCCACAGATAGGCAAACTGGTGTGTTACTATAGTGGTCTTAGGATCTTTGGAAGGGACCTTTAAAGGCCGTTTAGTTTCAACACCCCTGGATGAAACATGAAGTGGACACCTTCCACTAGACCAGGTTGCTCAGAGCTCCATCCAGCTTGGCATTGAACACTTCCAGGGATGGGGCACCCACAGCTTCTCTGGGCAACCTGTTCCAGTGCCTCATCACCCTCACAGAAAAGAATTCAAAACTCTGTTTTCTGTCAACATTGAGATTTTACAGTGTATATTATATATTGTAGTATTTTTTCGTTCCTCTTTATTGCAGCATATTTTGAAAAGCATTTCAAAGCATTTGGAAGCACAGTAAATAGGCAATGTAGAGAAGAAAAAAAAATCCAGAATTACCATCAGTTTGATACTACTCTCCAAGTCCTGCTTATAGTAGGAAAATTTTCTGGAAAGAGAACAGTGCTCTGGAGTAAGTGCTTGTGGCTGTTTTCAGTAGTTTCTATTGAATGGCAGTCAGCAACCACAAAGCTCAACAGTAGAGAGTTTTTTGAACAAGGGAACTCTTTAATTTGATAAAAGTCTGTAACATTTAAAAGCAATAGTTGCTATATGTGTATCTTCACCTTAAAGGCTTAAACCTTTACTTGAAGAGGCTTGAGCAAGGAAGCTTTGGAAGAGGTCTCTGCTGAAGAGTGGTCAGAGTAGAGCTAGAATGAGCTCTTTTCCACTGAACCACCAAATTCTGCACTCCGGGGCCTTTTGTTTGCATTCCAAAGATCACTTGTAACATTCTGTTATCATGACAGACTTTTGTTGAAGGAAAATGGGGTTTCTCATGCTCATCCAGCAATGAACTTCTCAGAGGAGAGGGTTGAGGGGTTGTCTCTTCCATCCAGGAGAGACTAATTTTAAGTCCATGTGTTACCAAGCTTGTGAATTTACCTGTGTGCGATTTGCAATATTTGACATTCCTTTGCATTGTTTGTTTTTTTTTCTGGCTGGTTTTAAGGGAGTTTTGAGACAGAGAATGGAGTGCATATGGATCAAAATGCTGAGAATTTAGCAAGTAGCTATTTTTTGAAGAGGATTGGTTAACAGAATTCCTTTTGGCTCACTGTTGAATGTTTAGAGGAGTTTCTCTTGGTGTTAAAATACTGACTTCCAGGGCTACTGGAGCTCAGACATGCTTTTATTTATTCAAATATGAAGTGTAAGTTTGTCATGGTAAATTCTTTAACTTCAGAAATGCAACTCAGTGTGTGACAGTTGACAATGGTTAAGCTACCAAAAGCGAAAGATGTGGGAGAGAGAACATGAAAAAACAAGAGCCCCCTGAAACCTCTGACACAAACTTCCGAGAAGAGCCAAACAAACTCAAACTGGAGCATGTGTAGCAGATATATTTTGGAACATACTGTAGTATTTTGGCATACAGGATGGGAGGATTGTGCAGATAAAGATATCTTTTGGGTTTGCATGTTTGCTTATTACATTTGCATTTTCTTCATCATAATTGCTAAGTCATCTGGGATTTTGTTAGTTTAACTGACACAGCTTCTGAACAGTTGTGTCTTGGAAGAATCTTGGATGCTGGTTGAAGTGCAAATATAATAAAGAAAATGAAGAGTTCAGTGGATCTGAAATATTATTTTTCTCTTTAGATAAAATATAGCAAGCAATTACTGTGAAAGTAAACTAGTCTTAAGTTGTTTAATTGATACTGACTGTTACTGGATAGAGGTTATATATATACTCATTTATATAGTATGTTGAGATCCTTTAAGTAGGAAATATAGTACTGAAAGCAATGGTAAATGCAATTTAAAATCATATTTGTTTGTTTCTGAATGATCAAGTAGCAGTAGTAGGCCAATTTGCTAGAATATGTGCCTATAATATGTAGAATAGCTGTTTCCATCTAGTTGTTACAACGAGAAAAACATAGAAGAGATGGGGCTAACTTGAAAAACTGTCATTTGGTGTCCCTCCAATAATAATGGGGGAAAAGATGTCTCTGACTAGATGCAGCAGAAGGAATATTAGGATAGGCTGCTATATCAAGCAAATGTTCTTTAATGATTGTTTTGATACTTTTCAGCTTTTTAGAGATGTTGAATGAGACATGCTGTGTCTGCAATAACAATAAACTGGGTTTCTCACACCTCAGTATAGATTGAGTGAGGAAAACCATGCTTATGATATGCCCTGAGCTGAGTAATGAATCACTCAGGCTGCCAGGCTGTGACCTTAAACATACAGATCAGTTCAAAAACAGGAAATATGCCACACCAAATAACTTAACACTTCTGTGAGAAATTAGTTGATATCATCTGTCCTTCAGGTGACAAGTACACAATTATTTATCTTCTACTTAAGTCTGTTTTTTTTCCACCTCAGCACTTCCTATGTCTTGGTAAGAGATGCATGAAACTGACTTGCCAACATCTGTGCTAAGCAGGAATTGAATACACGAAAATGCTGCTGTGCTGATGGGGGTGGAATGGTGCTGAATGAAGCACAGATATGAAATGTGAAAGCTTCTTAGTGAAGGAGCAGAAAGCCAGTGGGAGAAGACTAGTGCCTGGTTCTGTTAATTACATTTACAATAACTTAACTGCTTTAAGTCACCTTCATACAGGTTGTTAGGTGTGTTGTATTACAAATTGAGACTCTTGTGACCATTGTATCTTGGCAGGTTGTAACTCTCTTCGTGCTTAATGCTGGATGAGGTGAAGCAAAGTAAAGCATTAAAACAGATTTACCTTCAGAAATAGTTAAACTTAGCTAATCTGGACTAAAGTAGATGGAACCAAATCATAGCTCTGGGAGACACAAAATGAAAGCACATTGGAATTGAAAGTTGTTTGAGGTTTGCACGTTTGAATTATCTGTGCCTTTGTTAATGGCTACTTCCAAAGCTGAGGAGAGTTTGCAGAGTTGCCACGATTTATTACCAAACATACAAGCAAACCATCTGCTGTTATTAGGTAACTGTTACCAAATGTAGCTGAAGCATTACCTTTTTTATGTCATTATTTTACTGGTTTAAAAGAGTCATCCCTGATGAGCTGTGCTTCTTGCTTGTTAAGTGTAGGAAAGATCCTCCACTGCAGCATGAAGCAGAGATCAAAATTTCAGTAGAAAATTGTGTTCCTTGGTTTCTTCTAGCCTGACCGTGGCTTAGGCAGTGGTTTACTGGTTCTGTAATGTACTGGTGGATGATGTGGGAGAAATGTATGATGCAAATATAACTACTGATGAAATAAAGGAAACAGAAGACTCTTTCACAATGACAAGTCTCAAAAAGATATAAACTGGAATTATCCTGGAAAGGTTCTCTGCAGCTACACAGAAAGGCTAAAGTAAATACTCTCTGCATAGAATAAGTTGTTAGGATGCATTCAGAATATCTTTTAACCTGATAGGTGGTCCCAAGAGCGGGAAAACAAAGTTGAGCTTTCAAAAAATGGTGTTTTTTCTTCTTCATCG